CCGCCCCCCCGCGGGGGGGCGGCCCGCCTCGGCCTCATGTTCCGCGTGGGCACCCAGCTCTCCAGCCACATGGTCTCAGCGCAGATCCGCTGCAAGCTCATCCAGGTTAGGGGGCGGGCATGGATTGGCGAGGAGCCGGGGGGTTGGGCCCAGTGGGGTGCCACCAGAAGGGACCACTGGGGTGGGGCCCAACTTTGGGTGGATGGGCAATGGTGGGGGTTTGGGTGAAGCCCCACTCCTTGGCCAGGGTGCTGGATGACAGGGCGTTGGTGGAGTGGGATCAGCTCCAGCACCCCAGCCTTGCTCTCTGGCAGGGTGCCAGATGGCAGGGCGCTGGAGCATAGGCCAAGTGGGACCAGCTCCAGCACCCCAGCCTTGCTCTCTGGCAGGGTGCCAGATGGCAGGGCGCTGGAGCATAGGCCAAGTGGGACCAGCTCCAGCACCCCAGCCTTGCTCTCTGGCAGGGTGCCAGATGGCAGGGCGCTGGAGCATAGGCCAAGTGGGACCAGCTCCAGCACCCCAGCCTTGCTCTCTGGCAGGGTGCCAGATGGCAGGGCGCTGGAGCATAGGCCAAGTGGGACCAGCTCCAGCACCCCAGCCTTGCTCTCTGGCAGGGTGCCAGATGGCAGGGCGCTGGAGCATAGGCCAAGTGGGACCAGCTCCAGCACCCCAGCCTTGCTCTCTGGCAGGGTGCCAGATGGCAGGGCGCTGGAGCATAGGCCAAGTGGGACCAGCTCCAGCACCCCAGCCTTGCTCTCTGGCAGGGTGCCAGATGGCAGGGCGCTGGAGCATAGGCCAAGTGGGACCAGCTCCAGCACCCCAGCCTTGCTCTCTGGCAGGGTGCCAGATGGCAGGGCGCTGGAGCATAGGCCAAGTGGGACCAGCTCCAGCACCCCAGCCTTGCTCTCTGGCAGGGTGCCAGATGGCAGGGCGCTGGAGCATAGGCCAAGTGGGACCAGCTCCAGCACCCCAGCCTTGCTCTCTGGCAGGGTGCCAGATGGCAGGGCGCTGGAGCATAGGCCAAGTGGGACCAGCTCCAGCACCCCAGCCTTGCTCTCTGGCAGGGTGCCAGATGGCAGGGCGCTGGAGCATAGGCCAAGTGGGACCAGCTCCAGCACCCCAGCCTTGCTCTCTGGCAGGGTGCCAGATGGCAGGGCGCTGGAGCATAGGCCAAGTGGGACCAGCTCCAGCACCCCAGCCTTGCTCTCTGGCAGGGTGCCAGATGGCAGGGCGCTGGAGCATAGGCCAAGTGGGACCAGCTCCAGCACCCCAGCCTTGCTCTCTGGCAGGGTGCCAGATGGCAGGGCGCTGGAGCATAGGCCAAGTGGGACCAGCTCCAGCACCCCAGCCTTGCTCTCTGGCAGGGTGCCAGATGGCAGGGCGCTGGAGCATAGGCCAAGTGGGACCAGCTCCAGCACCCCAGCCTTGCTCTCTGGCAGGGTGCCAGATGGCAGGGCGCTGGAGCATAGGCCAAGTGGGACCAGCTCCAGCACCCCAGCCTTGCTCTCTGGCAGGGTGCCAGATGGCAGGGCGCTGGAGCATAGGCCAAGTGGGACCAGCTCCAGCACCCCAGCCTTGCTCTCTGGCAGGGTGCCAGATGGCAGGGCGCTGGAGCATAGGCCAAGTGGGACCAGCTCCAGCACCCCAGCCTTGCTCTCTGGCAGGGTGCCAGATGGCAGGGCGCTGGAGCATAGGCCAAGTGGGACCAGCTCCAGCACCCCAGCCTTGCTCTCTGGCAGGGTGCCAGATGGCAGGGCGCTGGAGCATAGGCCAAGTGGGACCAGCTCCAGCACCCCAGCCTTGCTCTCTGGCAGGGTGCCAGATGGCAGGGCGCTGGAGCATAGGCCAAGTGGGACCAGCTCCAGCACCCCAGCCTTGCTCTCTGGCAGGGTGCCAGATGGCAGGGCGCTGGAGCATAGGCCAAGTGGGACCAGCTCCAGCACCCCAGCCTTGCTCTCTGGCAGGGTGCCAGATGGCAGGGCGCTGGAGCATAGGCCAAGTGGGACCAGCTCCAGCACCCCAGCCTTGCTCTCTGGCAGGGTGCCAGATGGCAGGGCGCTGGAGCATAGGCCAAGTGGGACCAGCTCCAGCACCCCAGCCTTGCTCTCTGGCAGGGTGCCAGATGGCAGGGCGCTGGAGCATAGGCCAAGTGGGACCAGCTCCAGCACCCCAGCCTTGCTCTCTGGCAGGGTGCCAGATGGCAGGGCGCTGGAGCATAGGCCAAGTGGGACCAGCTCCAGCACCCCAGCCTTGCTCTCTGGCAGGGTGCCAGATGGCAGGGCGCTGGAGCATAGGCCAAGTGGGACCAGCTCCAGCACCCCAGCCTTGCTCTCTGGCAGGGTGCCAGATGGCAGGGCGCTGGAGCATAGGCCAAGTGGGACCAGCTCCAGCACCCCAGCCTTGCTCTCTGGCAGGGTGCCAGATGGCAGGGCGCTGGAGCATAGGCCAAGTGGGACCAGCTCCAGCACCCCAGCCTTGCTCTCTGGCAGGGTGCCAGATGGCAGGGCGCTGGAGCATAGGCCAAGTGGGACCAGCTCCAGCACCCCAGCCTTGCTCTCTGGCAGGGTGCCAGATGGCAGGGCGCTGGAGCATAGGCCAAGTGGGACCAGCTCCAGCACCCCAGCCTTGCTCTCTGGCAGGGTGCCAGATGGCAGGGCGCTGGAGCATAGGCCAAGTGGGACCAGCTCCAGCACCCCACCATCGTGGACGCCTTCCTGGTGGGCTGCATGTTCATCAAGATGTCCCAGCCCAAGAAGCGGGCCGAGACCCTCATGTTCAGCCGGGCAGGGTGCCAGATGGCAGGGCGCTGGAGCATAGGCCAAGTGGGACCAGCTCCAGCACCCCAGCCTTGCTCTCTGGCAGGGTGCCAGATGGCAGGGCGCTGGAGCATAGGCCAAGTGGGACCAGCTCCAGCACCCCAGCCTTGCTCTCTGGCAGGGTGCCAGATGGCAGGGCGCTGGAGCATAGGCCAAGTGGGACCAGCTCCAGCACCCCAGCCTTGCTCTCTGGCAGGGTGCCAGATGGCAGGGCGCTGGAGCATAGGCCAAGTGGGACCAGCTCCAGCACCCCAGCCTTGCTCTCTGGCAGGGTGCCAGATGGCAGGGCGCTGGAGCATAGGCCAAGTGGGACCAGCTCCAGCACCCCAGCCTTGCTCTCTGGCAGGGTGCCAGATGGCAGGGCGCTGGAGCATAGGCCAAGTGGGACCAGCTCCAGCACCCCAGCCTTGCTCTCTGGCAGGGTGCCAGATGGCAGGGCGCTGGAGCATAGGCCAAGTGGGACCAGCTCCAGCACCCCAGCCTTGCTCTCTGGCAGGGTGCCAGATGGCAGGGCGCTGGAGCATAGGCCAAGTGGGACCAGCCCCAGCACCCCAGCCGGGGTGCTGGATGGCAGAGCTTGGTGGAGTGGGATCAGCTCCAGAACCAGAATCCAGCCGGAGTGCCAGATGGCAGGGCAGAGAGCACCAGTGGAGAGGAGTCAGCCCCCACATCCCAGCCCCACTCCACAGCTGAGCGCCAAGTGGGGCAGAGTCAGCTCTGGCCCCCTGGTCCACACCCCAGATGGAGTAAAAGCTGGGGCAAAAGGAGAGCCCTGGGTGGGCCTGGATGCAAAGTGCGGCCACAGTCCACCCAGGCCCACCCATGGCTACCCCCCCCCTTTTTGCTCTCTCCTTAGCAGCCTGTTTGCCCAGTGCCTGGGGTTTGGGGCAGCCCACTCCCCAATGTTCCCTCTAACGTGTTCCATCCATGTGCAGAATAATTTGTTTTATCCAAGGCATGTGCAGATGTGCACAGCCAGCAGAACAAACCCTAGCTGGGTGGCATTTGCATCTCTCCTCACTGGCCGCACAAACACCCAATTTATAGGGGCCACTGCCTAGCTCTGCAGTGAGGCAAGAGCCAGGGAAGGGGAGGGCGGGGAGGAAAAGGGCTGGATTTTCACCAGGGCACAGACCCTCAGATCCCTGGCTCCTGCTGCGAGCAGCTGGCAAGTCGGTTCTGCTCACCAGGCTTTGAGGCTGCGCGCTTGGCCGGGAGAGGGACGTGGCAGCTGTGGAATACCCAGAAGCTGCTAAGTGGGAATCTTGTTTGGGATGCTCTGAAAATGGGGAGCGAGAGAGTTGAAGGTGAGAGATGACGGGTCGGACCCGGACCCTAACCCCTTTGGCCCAAGAGCTCCGGCGAGGGGACTTCAGCAGCCTGGTGCCTCCAGAGACAGTTGTTTCGGATATTTTAAAATCAGAAACACGGACCAAAGCAGCTTTGCAGGGAGCACTTCTGTTTCCAGCTGCATGTTGTGAAGCTGACTGTGAAATACTGCACAGGTTGGACCTTCCAGGTCCGGCACCCTTGGGACTCCAAATCAGGGAGTTTGCTGTACTGGGAAGGTCAACGCCCCCCTGCTGGCAACTGACCCCACTCCCTCCAGCAGCTCTGGCAGGACCAGCAGCTGGGAGCCCTATCTCCACTGGGGTTGCACCTTTCTGTCCAGCCAGGGCTCCTGGCTGTGGCTTCCTGGCTCCAGCTCCCCTGCCTCCAGCCTGACCAGGGCACTCTCTGTAGCTGGTCTGGCTGGGGGCTTCCCAGCCACCTCGGGCCACTCCGTTGCTAGTCCACCAGTCCAGCCAACGGCTTCCCCACCACCTCTGGCCCCTCCACTGCTAATGCAGGTGGGGTACTAGCCCACATGCTGCTAGCCTGCCAATGGCTTCCCAGCCACTGCTGCCCCCCCTGCAGCTGCCAACCCGCCATCCCCCCACTGCTGGACTCATAGGGGGCCCAGTTCCAGCCTCCAGGCCTCTCTGGTCAGCAACATCCATGACCCTTGCCAGTCCACAGATGTTGCAAGACCAGAAAGACCCAGATTTGCAGTCTGGTAAGGAAGACATCAATCAGCAGTTACAATATCACTGGGAAATTGCGACAATCCAGGTCCAGTACCCCAAGGGTGAACAGAGGGCTTGGACCCCCAGGGAACTGTGGACAATGTTGCTGAGTTGGTAACTGAATACAACATTGTGGAGTTGTTTTTTTCTTATGAGAACTTGTTCTGTGGTTGGTGATCATGAGACGCGTTCAGGTCCGGTGTAAAACACTGCAGTTGTTACG